AAGTAGCGTGAATTTATCCTATGTCTCGTTGGATGAAAAGATGGGAGATACGAAGGATGAAACTTCCTTTATTTGTTTGGAAGAAAGCAAGTAACGAGGGATCAAGCATAAGTATCCGTTAAGTCATGCTTTTGAAAAGTTTTTTATTCATTCAAAATTGGACCGAAAGAGAGGATGGAGAGGGAAAAAAAAAACACAAGTACACTACAAATATGTAATAATAATTTTAAGAGGAAAAAAAAAAAAAGAGGCACACCTCAAATATGTAATAATAATTTTAGCCTTTAACCTTTGAAATCCTCTCATGTATAATAATGCTACAGTGAAAAAAGACATATAAAAACTCTTCATCCCATCTTTTAAACCAATATATATATATATATATATATATATATATATATATCAGCCCATCAATCTTTTCTACTATTCATTTCATTAAACCAAATAAAAAATAAAAAAAAAATATTACTTCTTTAAAAATGCACCATCTCTCTATCTCATTTTTTATTCCACCTATTTTTCCGTGGCTTCAATCACACGGAGTGTTAGAACTAAAAGGGAAATGAGTGTATAGGCTCCCTTATTACTATTGATATTAATTCTAATTATTAAGAAAAAATAAAATAAAATCGTTCCAACAAGTTTGGGAAGTAAACTAATTTGAAATTTTCATCAGTGGTGGTAGTTGTACTTCATCCCATTATAAAAGATATTTTTTTTGAAAACAGACATAAATATTAGAATTTTTTCTAATTTTTTTTTTGTGAAAGCAAAAACTTTCAAGCTGCATAAAAGGCAGTGATGTCCCTATCATTTTGAATTCCCAGACAGTTCCTTTTTCTTTTCTGGTAAAAACGGAGAATAATTAAAGAATATATACCAAAAATAACTTAATTAGTTACTACAACAGTAAGCTTACCCAATCAAATTGTAACTCGACCACCAAGAAACATACTGGAAAAATCATCACTAATGCATGGAACCCGCTATACCACAAGGATGATTTATATAGATGAGAATGACCACTTTGTTATATATAAGGATATATAAATAATTATGACCAATAATAAATTAGTATATATATAATAATTATGACCAATAAACCATAAATGCATAAAGCTTTTTTAAAGATGCTAAGAGAGCACTAAAATCGATGAGCATTGCATGATCAAGATATATATGTGAGAGGCCAATTGATCATAGAAAGCCAAGTGGGTATAGCTACCAACAAGCCATTAAATGTAAAGCAACGAGAAAAGATGCTTTTTAGCACTAAAATCACTGGTGAATGCAGAGATATTTCAGATTTTTCAGAACTAGAAATTCCATTCTCAGATTTTTATTAATTTCGCATCTTTCAAATTTAATGGACCAGATTACATCAACACTCATTTCTCACCCTATATAAGCCCCCCCTCATGCCCTCTCCCAAAACCAACCAATTCTGCATTTGGTTTCAATACATTAAGTTTCCCCCTCTCTCTCACACACACAGTCACACACACACACACTCTCTCTCTCTCTCTCTCTCAATTTTTTTTTTTTTTTTTGTAAAGATGAATGAAAGTTGTGAAGGGGGGTTATGGGAGCTCTCTGCCGCTCCAAGGAAAGAAATGAAGGTATTCCGCGGCTGCTAGTTCATGAATACCCTTGGGACTGGGTGCAGAAGGGCGAAAGCGCGCAGGCTAAGGGCGAGCATGAACTGGGAGACGAGGTTACTTTCGTCTTTCTGGCTCTGGGGTGAAGGGAGCTCCTAAGCTCCTCTCAAACATGCATGCCTTGATGGTTTGTCTATATATATATATATGTAAGTACAGTTATAACGGATAAGCTGCTAGTAGTTACTGATCTAATTAAATAATCATAATGGTAGTACATGCTTTTTATTTGGTTTTATTTTTTGTAATGTACACATAGCATCTAGGATATGATTCATCTCCAATAGGGTGGTCCAATCACAAGCATTAGAATTTGAATGCGTCGTTAGCACTAGCAACACAATCATGACTTTCTATTTACAATGAATGAATGACTATTATTATGCCCATATAGGTAGTTATAGTGATGTTAATGAACTGAATGATCGACTTTCACTATTTGTTTACAGCTGTGGATATTTCTGCATGCAAGAATATTGTTGGAAGACTTGTGTGATGAATTTGCTAAAGGAATAAAGAGATTATGAACAAGAGGTGCGTTCCCTTAAATACAAGTCTGACAAGGATCGCTTTGGTGGGGAAAAGCCTGATCCATTGGTTCTCCATATTTCAGAAGCATGGCTAGATGAGAGGATGCAGATGAAGCTGGCAGAACCTTGCAGAAAAGAACCCAATTTTGGACAAATTGAGTTCCGAAATTGAAACATTTCTTCGAGCCGAGCGATCTGTTTGTTGCAGAGATAATGATGATTTATCCTCAAGAAGGCCAAAAGGAAATAGCTTACGTAGACAGTCCTCGGAGTCCTTCCACTTAAAAGATGCTGCAAGTGCTCCAAATGTGGATGATGAATATTCTACCGGCAGTGATTCACATCGTTTTGAATTAAACAGGGATTTGAGTGGAAAGCATAACAATGGTGATTCCAAACAACACGGAGATATTGCTAATCACTGGAAGACGGAAAACTGCATACTGAGAGTAAATGCATGGAAGGTTCCTGCTAGTACAGTGCAGCAGTGGATGTCAAGATTCAGATCTCCAGCTCCTGAGGTATCCAAGATCCTTCTAGCTGAATTTGGAATGACGTTTCAGTAATTTCAGCGTACCTAGTAATTTATTTTTTCCTTTGTAATTTAGAATCACATCTGTAAATGAAAATATGTATTTTTTGTTACGTGCTTACCTAGCTAAAAAAATATTCAGTCCTAGTACTATTTGGATCAATGTGAGGCCGGCTTTGTTATGTTTATGTAGAGGTGGGTATTGTTACATGAAATTTTTGAACTTGCAATAATTTTTTTAAAGGAGCTTGGCAGCTTCTTGTTGGTTCTTCGTTTTTACATGACTTGTAAATGAACCAAAAGATACAGTAGTCTCCTATGTTGACGTAAAAGCATTTCTTTCTCTCCCACCATGTGTTCCGAAGCATGAAATGCAGGATGTTGCGGCTCCCAGAATCACTTTGAAGACCAGGTTTATTTGCATGCCTTCTCGCCTTGGCTCATCTTACTGGTTTTTCAATTTGATTGGATGATAATTCAAGTCGAACTCATTTGTTTATATCCAGATCATAAACAAGTGAGTTGCATTTTGATACAAGTGACAGTAATTGACCTGAGCTAGTTCATATAGTCATTCATTTTCTAACAGGGTTTGGTGCATGTTACATATGGACATTTATTGGACTCTGAATCATTCTTAATCTGTAGCACAGTATATCTTCTTCCCTTTTAAGTACTCTCTAGTATGCATAAGTAACTATGTTGTCACTTTGCTAATTTGGTGTGATATATTTGAGAATGGTTCTCAGATCATGCTGCAGAAATAGTGGTTGGTTCATTGGTTGTTTTTGTCGATGGAATTGACTGTTGTTGCGAAATCAAATAGAAAATACAATAAATAGATCAAACACCCACACAACATGAATACACAGATTTTCTTGGTTCACCCAAAATTTAGGGCTACGTCCAAAACTTGTAGGAATTTCACTATGATGATCAAAAACCACAGCAGATATAGAGAGATCAAAATTATTAAATACTATCACACTAGAGCAACATAATAAGTGCAAAAATTACCAAAATACCCTCCAAAAAATTTGGGATCCACAGAGTTAGGGTTCGGTATACAGTATCTATCAGATTCCACACTACCCATCATACAAATGATCAAATGAGTTGGGGTCAGTGATTTCTTGAAGAGTCATAATAAAGAGTCTGACAGTTGGACAAAATCCGACTGATTGGGGTTGCACTCACATCAAATCAATCGGAGTTAATCACTGTCGGACTATAAATGATTTTTTAAGAGAAAGTTATTTAAACAGACTTCAAAAGAGATACCAGCAGGTCAGTGGTCTAGCGGTATCAAACCCCTACTTCTCAAAGAGAGGTCAGGGGTTTGAATCTCAGTGGAGACATGAGTGTGTGAGTACCAACCAACAAATATATATATATATATCGAAATGTTCATCCATGAATAGTTGTCAATAATGCAAGCGTGAGAGGAAATATTGACAGTCATGTTTGCGTGGGCTAAGAAATTATGCAATTAATTTTTAAATATCTTGAGCAAAGTGTTAACATTTGTATATTTCAAGAATGATTGACATTTAATGCGATAATCAAGTGTTAGCATTTGTATCTGTGTCTATGCCATTGGATTACACATGAAAGCATGCCTTCTTTGCACGGCACTTAAAGAGATCCAGTTCTAGTGCCTTAGTAGCCTCCCCTATAGTTTTGTTCTTTCAATTTTGAATAACATCATAATCTAGAAAACACAAACAACATTTTTTCTTGATGCAACAGTGTGTTACGCCAATGTAATTGAGACACGAATATTGATACGTTTTAAATACTTAAATACAGTAAGATAATTTTGTAATTATATTTTATAAAAAAAAAATGGGATTCAATGTTAAAAAAAAAAAAAAAAAAAAAAAAAAAAAAAAAAAAAAAACAATAATCAGTGATTTCATTCATAATTAAATTAATAAAAAATATATATATTATTTTTATGTATCCGTGTCCCATTTCCGAGCCCATTTCATATCGTACTCATGTCTGCATCCTTGCTTTAAGCTCATACAACCATGGACTTGATGTAAGTAATCCAATGGGCTATATCACTGGATATTTAATGTAGCAGTAGTTCATGGGCCTTAAAAGTCCTTCTTTAGAAAGATGTCGTAAACGGCGTCGTACAGTTTGTAATGGCAAGCTAGGAATAGAAGGGTCTCTCTAGTTTGAATTTTTTTTTTTTCTGATCTCTCTGGTTTGAATTGAAGAGAGATTTTCTAGAGAGAGAGGTGGAGAAAAATAAGAGAGAGATTGAAGAAGATGGCGGCTTCGTTTAGGTGGATGCTACAATTATACAAGGACGTCCCAAAAGCGGCTCGGTTCTACTCAGAGGGCTTGGACTTCACCATCAATGTCTGCTCTCTTCGTTGGGCTGAACTCCAATCTGGTCCCCTTAAACTCGCCCTCTTACAGTCCAACAGGTCTGTCTTTCTCTATCTAGATCCTCTTTCTTATATGTGTTCGAATTATTTTCTTCTGTTATTTGATACCCTTTTCTCCATCTTTGGTTTTGGTTTCATTTTCCATAAATAACAGCAAAATAATGGATTTAATGGTATAAATTGTGTATTATTATGTGTGCTCTACACAAGTGAGTTATACCTAATTTATTACAGTTTCAACATGATGCATAAAATCTTATCTGATTTCCAATTTTCCCACAAACAATGATCAATAGAATGGGGTGTTTATTCGTATTCATTATCATCATTCAATTATTTCTTGAAATTTTTTAATTCTTATAACTCTAAATAATACCATTTGTTAGTGGATTTAAAGATGTCAACTTTGAAGCTAATTATATTTACACATTGTTAGTGGGCCTTGGCACAACCCTGCTCCTTTATGACCCATAGGTCACAGTTTCGAAACTAGAAATTGCCTCCCCATGTAAATGTAAGATTGCGTATGTGTAACCCTCCCCAGGCCCCGAAATGGCAGGGCCCTCATGCACTGAGCTAGCCCTTTTTTTAGTTTATTCATTGTTAAAGGGCAGCATCGTATTTGAGTTATTACTCTGGTCATTGTACGAATGGAAACCCAACATTTATCTTTTCTTTGTATAATTAGTGATTTCTGAATCCATCACAGATTCTCAACAGATCCAAAAAATAAAAAAGAGCCATTACTCAGTATTAGTCATTGTTAATTGAGGTGCTAGGAGAGCCAGATTGTCATGACTTGCTCCACTGTGTAGATACTATCCAACTTGCACACTCTCCGTGCTAACAATGATTCAACCTTCGTCTCTATGTCCATGTTCTCATTCTTAGTGGCCTGAGCCTCTACCATTGCACCAAATTATTCCCCCTAGGGGGGTCCTCACATGGTCAAAATTAAAATTTTAAAATTTTGTTTCCTTCCCTTTCTCCCCCTTAATTTCACACCTTGTTTTAAAGTTTCTGCTTCCAGAAATAGATAATTTTTGCTTCAACTTATTTTAAATTGTATTTAAAACATTGAAGGAAGCTCCTTCTTTAGTTGAGAATGCAGGACCATTACCAAGATTAGTGAAGTAATCATTAGTATGACCAAGAAATATAGATATGACGTTGAAAGGATGGAAACTGGAAGTGGGGCTATGAATATTTTATGCTTGATAGAAGACTTGTTGAAGTTTACCTGTCTCCGAGGTATCTATTCTTTTTTTACTATTATACCTTGTTTTAACTGTATCGCACTACATATCTTTTGATAACCCCCAAAATCCTCTACCTTTGGTTCAAATCCAATTTCAAGTGGAGGAATACACTTATTTCAGGAGTATATAAATGCACTTGCTCGTGATCATGGTTTAAATAGATTGATTTTGTTGGAAAATGAAGGTTATGACAATAAATCCATCTTACTAAGTGTAAAACGTTTAATCACTTGAATGTATCAACATAATCATTTGCTTATTTTTGCTGATGATTCTAACCAAATTTTTTTTTTTTGGCACAAGAATTTTATTTTCAAATAATATCATAGGAGGGATTTGCAGTCCTTGTGCAAATTCCACTTTCTCTAAGATTAATATCTTCCCTTGAAGGGAAAGAGATTCAATGTCATAGTTTACGATCAATTGTACCCCGACTCAAAATTTCCTCGCCAAACTACATGAAACAGATTTTTGAAATGTCCCTAGAAAATTATTGCTAGTTGCCCGAAGTGAGAAGCAAAAATATTTTGAAAAAGACGTGAAATGCGTTTTTGCTTTCAGTTTATGTTCTGCCCTAGATGAATCCCATGAGTAAGCCTATTGGGATGATTTATTTTGATGAACCAACTAGACTGTTACAAACAACAAACAATAGTAACGAAAATAAAAATTATACATTTTTTTATTAGTGGTTTATTTACATGATTAGTAGCAGTTTAATCATCTCTTCAACATTATCAATACTTAATGGCACCTTTATTATCTGGGAAGTTTTAAAAGTAAGTTCTTTTCAATCTATATCTATGTTGAAACATCATCTAGTTCTAAGCCCGGAGATGATGCATCAGTTGGCAATAGGTATAAATGAGCACATGGCATTTCTATAGATAACCATAGCTAAATGTTCTTAGTTGGATGGATGTTTTTGCCATTACTATGATTGGATGATATTTTTGACAGATTGATTTGAAGGTTTCGCCAGCATTATTCTGAAAAAAAATTCACCCTCCCAAAGTTTTAATATAAGTTTAGATGGTCCTCACAGTTTCTAACAATCCAAGTTCCTTTCTTATAAAGCCTTGACGGAGTGTGAGACCACACCTCACATCAGTGTACCGTCCTCATGCTTGAGTTGTTTGACATGGCTGAAAGCATCCCACAATCTTGGACCACTATGGTTTCTTTGTTACGCCTGGCAGATATTCTGGCATGTGACTCGAAAATATATCTTTAAATATTGAAACAGCTTTGCATAAAGCCCTCTTAATGATGGAAGCCATGTGTGACTTGAGTTTTATTACTTAGTTCTCCATTTGGGTAGAAGTAGCGTTATTTTTTATACACCTTTACTCGGTATTTCCCCATAGCGTTTTTTTTATATACAATTTTACTCAATATTTCCCCTTTGCCTTTCTCCTGAGATAACGTTAACCAATCAACTAATTTTGACAGATACTTATTTGCATTCTGCCCCTGAAAATGCTATTATGTTTCCGGTTCCTATTCTGTTACGTGGGTTGTTTAGCATGTTGTCTTTGATCATATGTTGGAATGTTAGACATTTGTTTTTCCTTATTTGTGACTGGAGTGGAATATATTTGATCTGAAGTAGCTGCTAATCCTAGCTTTACAGTGAACATGCCATGCAGAAGGAACACTCGTCGCTCTTGCATAGTTGTTAAAGGCACGCCTAGGCTCCAAAAAAGCCCCAAGCTCGTCAAGGCTCAGCTAGAGCGCCTCAACCGACTACGGCTAAGCCCCTTCAATAAGGCTCACATAAAGCCCCCATGCTCACACTTTTTAGTAGACTTCAGGCTACAAAGAGGGCGCGCCTTGTTATTTTTAATCATTTATTCATATCATTTTCTTTTTTACTCGATGACTAGTAAATTAAACGGTTCTATATTAGATATCTTATTGTTTAACCTTCTGAAATATTTGACAAAGTTCATAAATTTATAGTTCACTACTTACATCAACTGCAATTACTGCTTGATTAGGAATATATATAATAATATATGTTAAATATGCATTATTATATACACACGCCTTACTTCGATTAGGCTCACGCCTTATACCGTGCCTTTCGCTTAGGCTCCAGAAGGCATTTGGCGCCTTAGTCAGCCTTGAGCCTTTAACAACTATGCTCTTGTCCTTTACGGTGACTGACATTCACACTACAGTGTCGAGACTATTGGCTTTAGGTGCAGAGCTGGATGGTCCCATCAAATATGAGATCCATGGTAAGGTAAAGTCCCAACTCCCGAGTTGCATAGTTTGTGTAAACAGCAATTTTCTCGTATTGAGCAATTATATATAGCAGTTGCCACTCAGTAGGATACTAAACATTCCCAAAATACATAATGTTCAACAGGTGATTGGTAACTGCTTATCTTTCGTTATGGTTAATAGTGTAATTCTAGAGGATATTCCGCTGATACTATCAAGTTTTATTACATATACTATTTTTAACTGGAAATTCTGAAGAAGCCTCATTATATATTGGCTCTGGCAGGTTGCGGCCATGCGGGGTGTTGATGGGCACTTTTTGGGTCGTTACGAATCTGAAAATGCCAAAAGTGAGCATGTTCCTTTGTGAGCTACCACAAGAAGCAACCGCTTTCAGCAGATCGAGCTGTTCAAGAAGTTGGATAGGCCGTGAAATTACTTATTCCGGATCCATTGAATGATGGTAGTTCATTGTTCATACAAGTCAAGCCCCTCGGGTGTTCGTGCTTCGATATTTTTCTGGCAATTAGAGAAAAGCAATGTTCAAGTATATTAGCAGCTGTGTAATTTCTCAATGGTGAGTGCGTCATGGATGATCATATGGTGAAGTACATATGTAAATGGGACTGAAATTCTCTCCCATCAACCTCTTTGTTTTTTTTTTTTTTTTTGTGATATCCAATGGTGTACCCTTTCATTACATTTACTTTGAAATTTCACTTATAATATGATTGAGCAAATTACACTACTACAACGGTGAATTTCACCATTAGAAGTGGTGAAATTTGAAATTTTAAACGTCGTCATCTTGATAATTTGAGTGATGAGTGATGTAAGACGGTGCACCGTTGAATTTATACTGCAGGATATTGGTAATAGGTAGGATTTTGATCGCGGTACATGTTCCAGAAAGAATTTTTTTCCTTCACCAGAATTGATCCTTATTGGTTGGCACTTATTTGTACCTTTTTATTGACATCAGCTTCCATTATTAGCATATTAAGAAGTATTATGTTTCAAGTTACTTTTGACTTTATGCTGAAAAAATAGATGTATAATGCTATATATTATATATTCCATTTATGAGAATGACCTTGTTGAACCTTGTTGGTTGAGCTTTAGCTTATGTCATCTATTTGGTGAATGAATGTTCTGAAGGAGACAGTAACTAGCTATTCAACAGCAGTTTGATTCGTTAAACAGTTGTAATAATATAAATATAATGATAATACAGGGAAGTGGTATTTGTGGCTTGGAAAGAATGAAAGGCACAATAAAACAATAATTCATATAAAAGCAGAATCAAACGTAAGCAGAATGAACTACTTTATGAATATGGTTTTTGACTGGAGCTTTATTCAAATTTATGCCTCCCAGAATAAAGCAATCCAATTCCCAAAAAGCAAGTGATACTTCGTTGTACAAATCTACTGATTGTTCAAGTTCAGCAATGATATGCTTATAATGAGTGGATTCTCTGCAATACAACATGGTGCTATACTATATGAACGGTTATAATTGTTCATACGTGTAAAGCGTAAGTAGATAAAGTAATTACATGTGAATTATTAAAATCGTTCGCTGTATTACAACGCAAGATGATCTCATACTTTACATTTACTTATAAAAAAGCGATCTGGACAATCAGCTTGACTAAGGATAACTTTGATCCGTAGTGCTATAAAAACCTCATGTTAGTGATCAATGATTTCTCGTAAATTTATACACAATTATTAATAGGGCTTTTAACCAAATTGCCCTGGACTTAGATCTTCTGAAGTTCACATGTGACTTTAGACATGATAAACTCCCTATATATCCCTAATTCTAGATTTTTTTTATTTATGAGTTAGGAATATTTATATCATTTCACTTTAAAAGTAGCGTGCATTTATGCGAAGGATGAAACTTCCATTATTTGTTTTGAAGAAAGCAAGAAATGAGGGATCAAGCATAAGTATCCGTTAACTCATGCTTTTGAAAAGTTTTTTATTCGTTCAAAATTGGACCGAAAGAGAGGATGAGGAGGAAAAAAAAAAAAAAAAGTACACTACAAATATGTAATAATAATTTTAAGAGAAAAAAAAAATTACACTTCAAATATGTAATAATAATTTTAACCTTTAACCTTTAATTACTTACAAGTTACGCCCTTTTGAAATCCTCACATGTATAAGCATGCTTAAGTGAAAAACAGATGTATAAAAACTCTTGTTCCCATCTTTTAAATCAATACACATATATATTACCCATCTTTTCAGCTATCCATTTCATTAAACCAAATAAAATGTAAAGAAAATATTACTCATTTAAAAATGCATCATCTATCCATCTCATTTTTTCTTCCTATCTATTTTTCCGTCACTTCAATCAAACAGAGTGTTAGAACTAAAAGGAAAATGAGTGTATCGGCTCCCTTATTCCTATTGATATTAATTCTAATTATTCGGAAAATAAAAAATAAAATCGTTCCAATAAGTTTGAGAAGTAAACTAATTTGAAATTTTCATCAGTGGTGGTAGCTGTACTTCAGCCCATCATAAAAGTTTTTTTTTTTTTTGATAACAGACATAAATATTAGAATTTTTTCTATTTTTTTTTTATAAAAGCAAAAACTTTCAAGCTGCATAAAAGGCAGTGATGTCACTATCATTTTGAATTCCCAGAGAGCTCCTTTTTCTTTTCTGGTAAAAACTGAGAATAATTAAAGAATATATACCAAAAATAACTTAATTAGTTACTACAACAACAAGTTTACCCAATCAAATTGTAATTAGGGCTGCAAATGAACCGAGTCGAGTCAAGCATGGATCTGCTCGGGCTCGGATCGTTTGTTTATGGAGTTTGCTCGGGCTTGGGCTCGGCTCGTGACGAGCTCAGAAAATTGAGCTTGGGCTCGGGCTCATTTTAATTTTAAAAGCTCGGGCTCAGCTAGGGCTTGGCTCGTGAAATTTTTTTTTACTTCTCAAAATTAATAAATATTCCACAAAAAAATCAATGATTTTATACTCCATCATTGTAATTATAATAAATCAATGCTAAAAACTTTTAGATACCATCATTGTAATTATAAAAAATTAATGATTTCATGCTCCATCATTGTGATTATAATAAATCAATGCTAAAAACTTTATGAAACTATCATTGTAATTATAAAAAACCTGGCGAGGACAGCAAACAGAGAGGACGGACGATGACAAAGAACGACGAGGACAAAGAAAGGCGAGGACAACAATTTGTTGGACCCTCCCTTTACTATTTAACCCAATTAAAGTTATAAAAAGAAAATAAGAAATATATTTTATAATAAAAACAAAATTGTGGTGTTTAGCTTTAGATCAACATGATGATGATTCTCCAATATTAGTTTATTTGATATTATTCTTGTGGTATTTAGCTTTTAATATGTAAATTATTAATTTAAAATAATTATCATTTCTACCGATATTGCTTAAAAAAATTGTAATATAGTTATTGATTCTGTTAAAATTGTCTTTGGTAATCTATTTAGTACATGTATATTAGTATATATTAATCAATGTTGTACTTTGAAGACACAGAGTGGATTAGTGGTAGCCTGATAGGAGTGTTACGAGTTAAATTCTTTCATGACCAAGTCTTGGGTTCGAGTTATATTTTTTAATGTGTCACTTATTATATATTATATTTTATATTATATTATATATATATATATATAGCGAGCCCCAGCCTTGTCGAGCCCTGTTCACGAGCTTATATGAGCTGAGCCTAATGTTGTTCAAACTCTCGACTCATTTACTAGCGAGTCAAGCCCAAACCGAGTCCAAATTATTCATAAACATCTCGGTTGATTTACAGTCTTAATTATAATACAACCACCAAGCAGCATACCGGAAAAATCATCACTAATGCATGGAACCCACTGTACCACGAGGATGATTTATATAGATTAGAATGACCGCTTTGTTATATATAAGCATATATAAATAATTATGACCAATAATAATATATAATAATTATGACCAATAAACCATAAATGCATAAAGCTTTTTTAAAGATGCTAAGAGAGCACTAAAATCGATGAGCATTGCATGATCAAGTATGTATATGTGACAGACCAATTAATCATAGAAAGCCAAGTGGGTATAGCTACCAATAAGCCATAAAATGTAAAGCAATGAGAAAAAGATGCTTTTTAGCACTAAAATCACTGGTGAATGCAGAGATATTTCAGATTTTCCAGAACTAGAAAATCCCATTCTCAGATTTGCTATTAATTTCGCATCTTTCAAATTTAATGGACCAGATTACATCAACACTCATTTCTCACCCTATATAAGCCCCCCCTCATGCCCTCTCCCAAAACCAACCAATTCTGCATTTGGTTTCAATACATTAAGTTTCCCTCTCTCTCTCTCACACACACACACAGTCACACACTCTTTCTCTCTCTCTCTCTCTCTCTCATTTTTTTTTTTGTAAAGATGAATGAATGTTGTGAAGGGGGGTTATGGGAGCTCTCTGCCGCTCCATCCTGGAAAGAAATGAATGTATTCCGCGGCTGCTAGTTCATGAATACCCCTGGGACTGGGTGCAGAATGGCCAAAGCGCGCAGGCTAAGGGTGTGCATGAACTGGGAGACGAGGTTACTTTCGTCTTTCTGGCTCTGGGGTGAAGGGAGCTCCTAAGCTCCTCTCAAACATGCATGCATGCCTTGATGGTTTGTCTATATATATAGTTATATGCAGATATATATATATATATATATATATATATAAACACAGTTATGGCTGATAAGCTGTTAGTAGTTGCTGATCTAATTAAATAATCATAATAGTACATGCTTTTTATTTTGTTTTATTTTTTGTAATGTACACCTAGCATCTAGGATGTGATTCATCTCCAATAGGGTGGTCCAAAACAAGCATTAGAATTTGAATGCGTCATTAGCACTTACTATTTGATGAATTTGAAGATTACCCAAGAGGTAAAAAGGCATTGGGTCATGTTTGTATTCTCTTTTTCTTGAAAAAATAAAAATAAAAAATGTTTATTCATTCTCTTTTTTTGGCATGCATGGTTAATAATCGATGATGGTGCATGAAGAATGAAATTCTTAATGGTCTACCTTTATCTCTGTAATTTTGAGTATTAACTTTTAACTTTCACGTCAAGGTTTGAGTCTATTCTTTCTTTGTATCCATTAAGCATCATGTGTCTTTATTACAACTAACATAAATGCCAATTGGGAAAGGGTATCAATTGTTGAACATGTTGGTTTTAGCAGCTACTGTTTCTTTATTAATTTTGTTGCTCCTGTAACTCAATTCAAAGAAAACGCTACAAGTACTTATTTTGTGTTTTTGTAGTTCATTTTCGACTTCTATGCTG